CTGTCTTCTGGGCATAATCATCAGGAAAGGCAGAAGGGATTCAATTTCTACTGAGGAAATGGTACCAATAGAGACTGAGAGAGGACATGTAGCATTTGACCATTATATTTTTGCTCTGGGTTTTTTTTTTTTTCTTTTTTTATGATAGGTTTAATGGTATATAAGAAATTGTGAGTCCTTTGGAAGAAGGATAAATGGCATTATTAGAATTGCTTAGCCTGGRAATATTAGGTGATTGAAAAGACTCTAGAGTTAGCTCTCAGTACAGGCACTGCTGACTCAGGCTTTTTTTCAGACAATGAGCAATTTCCTACCTGCCCTGGCAGTAACATTTTTGTAACAGAGTAACACATTTCCTCTGACAGTAACACTTTGGCTTTTACATCTGATATTTCGCCAAAGATCTTTGTCTCTGACCTTAATTTGGTTTTGTTACATAATTTTTTGGGTCTCCTAAGTACAAGATGCCACATCATAAAACTGGTATGTCATATCATAAAACGTCCAAGAGGAACGCAGTGTTGCCTCACTTTTAAATTACATTCTAGGACAAAAAAAAAACCAAAAAAAACCCAAAAAAAAAACCACTACACCAAACCAACAAAACAACAACCACAGCCACACACWTACACACACAAAACAAAACAAACTTTCTTGTTTTAAATAACTTTATTCTCACTATAGTGGAGATACGAGAGAAAGCAATCCAGAGGTACATTGAGACAGCACCGTATCACTGCTACCAATATTCTTAATGTGTTAACACCATGTTATTACCAAGACTATTGATCTAATAACTTCTGCTGCAGTGCCAAAAGGATTTAATTATTAATACAAAAACAAACAAAAAAAANGATTTAATTATTAATAAAAAAACAAACAAAAAAAAACAACAACAAAAACCAAAAAAAAAAAAAAAAAAAAAAAAACCCAAAAAAAAAAATCCCAAAAAAACCCTATATCAATGGAAGTGCAATAGCTGTTAGTCCAGCAGTCTTGTCTCTTCAGAAAACTCCTGCCAGCATCAGTAAAGCACAACCAGAAGTTTTAGTAAGACATCAGTAGCAGCCAACACAGTTCACACAGATGGGAGAAGAGAATTCAGACCATGTGTGTGCACACAGCCTCACGGCACCAAAGGCACCACTATTAACCCTTCCACCAGATGGCAACTCTTTTACTTGAGCATGGAAAGTCATGTATGTATTATAAGACTCCATTACTTTATATAGTGACCTACATGCATCCAAATACGTCTTGTGAGCAATCAAGCCAGGTGAACTCAAACTTCTGAGCTTCCTGTTAACGTGTGGTGGAGTTGCTGTGACTCAGGAACATGATGAAGTGGAATTAATGACATAGTGTATCTCAAARAAAACCACTCTAATTGGGAACAGAATTTTGCAGACTGGTTTATAATCCAGCAATAAACAGTTACTCAGGTTAAGAAATAGCCCCAGCTATTCTTAAGAAATTAAGAATATTAATTAATTAATTAAGAATATTAATTCTTATAATAATTATATATAATTATTAAAATAATTATAAATTTATAATTATAAAAATATAATCTTATAATAATGAATTAATTAATTAAGAATATTCTTAAGAAATTAAGAAATAGCCCCACTCTGGTTAACCAAGTACCAGCAGTGTTATCCTGTAATAAGGTAATTTTTAAACATCATTTTGAAAGGAAGCAATGTCATTTAAGGTGCAGTGCTTGTGTCCAGACACTTCCCATACACCAGCACTTCCACTGAGGGTCTGAGCCCAGCATCTCCTGAGGGTGAACCCCTGGCAGCTCAGTTATTCTGTATAACTGAGTCATTAGATGAAAGTGACAGTTTCCATGTCACTAACAGCAATCTTTTAACTTGTTCATCCCAAGGAAGCCAACAGTCCATGCCCCAGCCCTTCCCCAGACTGGGGTTATGCTATTGCCCTTCTCCCAACAGAGTGCTGTGAGCCAACAAGTTTCCTCTTGGAGTGGGACTACAGTCAAGAACAAAAGATTTATGGAGCCAAAAAAACAGCTACAGCACGGGAATTTATATGATGCTGGGCTATTTGGTTTTAGCCATGTATCATGTAAGCTAAAATATATAAACAGGCTGGAGCCAGTTTCCCACCAGAAAAACAAATGTGCACTCCTCACAAGAGAACTTTTCTGGGAACTCACATGCCCACCCTAGCTGGGGGGACACTGAGCCTCAGCAGGTTTCCCCAGCCCACACAGACAACCTTACAGCAAGATCTGGGCACACAGTTCTCCAGAACAAGGTGCATCAGCAGATAAGTGYATGTGTCACAAGAACCCAGCAACCAGAAACTCTGCATCCTGCCAGGCATTCCTATTCTAATTCACATCCTGAAGTAAGTGCTTTGGAGACATCCCAGCATATGACAGTATTAAACAAGGACACCTTGAGTCTTTAATAAAAATGATACATGTATATGTACACACACACACACACACACACACACACACACACACGTGTGATTAAATAGCAGCCAGAACTAAGCCCCACTGAGACATTCACTTTACACTGGAATGGGATAGGGAAGAGAATCAGAAAAGTGAAAGTAAGAAAACCTGTGGGTTGAGATAAAGACAGTTTAAAAGATAAAGCAAAAGTCACACACAAGCAAAGCAAAATGAGGAATTCATTCACCACTTCCTATGGGCAGGCAGGTGTTCAGCCCCAGGAAAACAGAGCTCCATCATGCATAATGGTTACTTGGGAAGACAAACACCATCACTCAGAATGCCTCCCCACTTCCTTCCTCTTCTCCAGCTTCGTATGCTGTGTACAACACCACATGGTATGCGACATCCCCAAATTCTCCCTGCAAAGAGCAAGATCTCTGCAAATGAGCGCTCTYTGCTCTTGCTCTTACGCTTCTAATCCAGCCCCATGAATGAAACAGCTTTCACACAAGGTGAAAGGTGTAAGCCAACCAGGCCTTGTGTGTGTCCCCAAAGGATCGTCAGGCTTCACATGAATCTYGTGCAACCACCAAGCGCAATCCTTCCATTTTCCAGGCACAGAACATTTGACATGCCAGGTTCAGCTTCCTCAGTCACTCCGTGGGCTTCTGGAGGACACAGCCTGTGAAAGAGAAACCTCACAAGGTCAGCTCACATCCAACACAGATGAACTGTACGAAACACTAGCTCAGTTCCCATTGCAAGGAACTCCAGATGTCCTCTAACACAATAGGAAAACTGAATGAAAAAGCAAACCAAGACTTGGATTTCCATGAAACTGGAGTTTTCTGGYTATCTACATCCACACTGACTGCTCTTCAGGCTTTTGGTGGGATCACTGCTATTGTGATTTCCCACTGGGTTTCAGTCCACAGAAAACCAAAGAAACTACTGCACACCAAAAAGTTAACTACAGCTCCACCATCCCACTCTCTTCTCTAGGCTCCTGTCTGCAAAGGTAACTGCTAGAATCAGAGCATTAATTTTAGGCTGCTTACAATTAAAATTACTGTCCGGCTTACTTTCTTTATCACACATTTGTGTGTATCTCAATAGTGAAACAATTTTTCTTCAGGCTACAGTAAGTATTAGTCCACAACGTCATAGCAAAACTTCTACTTGAATCAAATCGTGATGAGGCTCTTTGCTGACAATTTTGCCAGATGGCTAAGAATTGCTCTGACACTGTAACATTAGGTGCCAGCTCAGCCTTGCAGAACAGGAAGATGAAATGAATCAATATGGCATCATGCAAATAAGCACACATTAAATAGTTCAAAGAAGCTGTGCTCCCTGTCCTATCTTCAAGGACTACAGATTTGTTCATTGAGTATCAGATTCGGAAATTGCTTTTTCCTCCACTGCTGTCTGTCAGAAAGCGATGACACCAAGAGTCAGGTAAGGAGAACATGTTTGTACCTGGGCTCCAAGAAATTTTGAGCAAAGGAGAAAGCTGGTGGCTGGTAAATAATTTCACTTCCTTTCACCTTACACAATGGGTTCTGGGCTGTGGCCCTTGGCTGCMGAGGGAACTCCAGCTATCTGCAAGACATTGGTGAAGCCAAACTTGTTTTCAGAAGGTTGTYACTCACCACGCAGGGATCCATCAGCAATACGTGTATAGATAAATCCAAAAAGGATGAAAACCCCCCATACAACATTCCCATAGTGATTGAAGTATCACTAGGAGACTATTTACTCTGTGACTTTTTCCAGACTGATGTGCAAAACCAGTCACAGAATCACAGAACAAGCTGAGCTGGAAGGGACCCCCAAGAACAATCAAGTTCAACTACTGACCCTGCACAGCACCWTTCCCAAGACAAGACCATGTGACTGAGAGCATTGTCCAAATGCTTCTTGAACTCAGACAGGCTGRGGCTGTGACCACTTCCCTGGGGAGCCTGTTCCAGTGCCCAGCCACATCTTTGGTGAGGGACCATTTTCTGATATCCAACCTAAACTTCCCCTGCTACAACTTCAGGCCATTCACTCGAGTCTTGKGACTGGTCACCACATTGAAGAGGTCAGTGTCTGCCCCTGCTCTTCTCTTCATGAGCAAGTTGCAGCATGCAAYGAGGTCTTCCTTCACCCCCCCTTGACCAGCTGGCAACAAGTTGAGAACAGCAGCCGAGGACATTCTAGTCAACCCTTACTGACTGGGTCAGTTATTAATGTGCTGGTTTTGTAAATCTTGACCTTAAGTTGACAAGCTCACAAAGATGTTTACTCCTTAGATACACGTTGAGTATGAATAATGTATAGACACAGCAAAATTAATGCACCCACATCACAGCAACATACCAYCCTAAATAAAAAAATCTCCCCTTTTAGCCACTGAGTTTTCCACTATAAAACTACCATTTTAGAGAAAAAAGTGGCAATTTTCATAAAGGCTGTTGCARAGTTTCCCTTTCATTAGCAACTTCTTGACCAATTATAACTTACACATTAAGTGCGCACCACAGAACAATCCCAGAAGTCCTTGAGCTAAAATAAAATACCGTGATTTGTTTCTAACTGTTTAACTGGTAGGAAGCCACTGTAACATGTAATTCCTGGAGAAGGGAACACTCCTTTCTAACATCATCAGTACTGGATTGCACTAATTCACACACTCTCTAAATTATCTGCTGGGGATTGACCCTTTGGACATTGCAGCCTTTCCAGCCACCTGTTCAAGTCACCATTTAAAATACCTGTAGTCAGTTAGGATTTCTAGTGTCAACATATCTAGCTTTAATGAATCATTCTTTCCGAAGATCACTTCTTAGGTAACACCTTGTCTTTAAATCCATAGATATTGAAGTTGAACAGAGAACTAAACAGAAAAGTGCCAATGTAATAGGCTCTGCCAAATTATCCAGCGTAACTTAAAGAGAAACAGATCAAACAACCRTTTTTATTTTCAGTAATATGCATACATAATTGCATACAAAATCAAAATGCCATCAAGTGTGTACAAAATTCAAATAATTCTGTATAAAATTTTCAAATGACGTGGTATTAAGACCTGAAGCCAAACAGAAAGAGAGCCAAACTGGTTGCTAGCCACCTATTTCCTCTACTTCATTTTAATTTGTCTGCATGGAAAGATAAAATGAGCTGTCAGCATAAATCACAAACACTTTTCACTGTGACAATCATAATGGTATCAGTCTCCCCGGAACAGGCAACTAGGGCAAGAAGCAATTAAAATATCAAAGTCAAGAAAAGAAAAACATCYTTTTGTGTTTACTTAAAGAGATCACTGCTCCTAAATACATGAGTCTGAAGTGGAGCTGGAGAACACTACTAGTTAACGTGGCTGAGTTTGCTTTTTCTARAGAAGCTGAAATTATCACTAAACACGGGTCTTAGTCTACAAGACAAGCACTGACATCAGCACAGCTGGCAAACTGCAGCACTAAAATCTGATAGTCATCGTAGCCAAAAACCTGTGCACAATGAACAAACCCTAATGCTTCACGTCCTTTTCTTAAAACTCTTGTATGTTCTATGTTAGTGTCATTAAGAAATTAGAATCTTTTGGTAAAAGGTTAAAAGCAGTAAATAGTAAAAGTAACTTTTTGCTCTGAATGCTGACTATTCATAAAGTAACAAATACATATACCACAGCTGCCCTTAAGATAACTAAATAAAGCAACTGAGGTATTTAGTGAACAATGGTGCTGCCCCAGAATACTCTTCCAGGTCATACTGCATGACTGCAGCACAATACCTTGAAAAATAACACACAGGTTCCATAAAAAAATAACTATCTCAGTGTCAAGAAGTTCCAAAAAAAATAAAACCCCACATGGCTGTTGTGACATAGTGAATTAAGACCTAACTCTCAGGTGTAAAGAACATCAATTTTCTACAACAGTTTAAATATTAATTTTCAACATTAATATTTATCAATATATTAATATCAATGGTAAGTGAAAGGATGCTGCGTGAAATCTACAGTCACAATTTTTTTTAATGTACGCTACAAAAAAAGCAATCATTTTACAGAATAGCTCCTATACAACAGGTAGAAGAGATTATGTCTTGGCCCAGAAATCCTTCCTCTTTTGAGCTCGTTCCAGTGTCTGAGATGCAAGGGAGCTAGATGCTGCTGAGCGAGCAGAAATCTGAGAGAACCTGTCATCTGCAGGGAAAGCAAAAAAGGAAAAAGTAAATAAGAAAATCAAATTTACATATTCAAACACAGTTGACATTTTTTGGAAATTTTTATGCCCTCTTTCACAATGGATGCTAAAATAGTACCACAGAGCACTTCAATTCAATTACTCAGCAACTGACATGCTGGAGAAAAACCTCACAAGGAAGCCTCTAGTATGTTAGGTAAGTTTAAAAGAGTTACATGCCCATCTCTTGACAAACGCCAGAATGAGATCCCCATATTAACCTGGAAATTGCCCAATTCTCCAAGTTATCTTTACCTTTATTGTCCTGTGTCAGGAGACCTCAGGAATTGTTCCTCTGCCTCCGAAATCTATATAGACTAGACTCTGGCAATAACATATTCTTGAAAGCAACTCTCTGCTTCAAGCAAGGCAGACAACTTAGAATAACATGACTCAACTATCAGAACCCATGCTGCCAAAGAGCCCTTCTGGGTCAAATCCAGCTAGCATGCCAAAAGCTGTTAAAAGGAAAGTGTCTTCTGAAGGAAACAGAAGTTCACCACAAAGACAAGAAAAAGCAGGCTTTAGAAACATACTTTTGAAGGGTCTTGATTTTSAATATAGGGTCCATTTCGCACACAGTAAAACTCTAAAATCAACCAGTCTTGATGTCGCTTGTCTAATAGAGCACATTATAATTCTTTAACAGCATTATTAAAATGTTGCTACAGGTCTGTCAAGATGCTCTCTATGAAAAATGACCTTAATTACACCCATTCTCCCGCAATGGGTTAGAAAGAATTGTATCACTAGCTTCCAGACTCCTCATCAACAAAAAAAAAGCCCACGAAAATATTCCTCAACTCAATCCAAACAGCACTGGTACGTGTCAGTGTTTGAATTAACTTTCCAGAGAACTTCTAAACTCTTAAAATACAATGATGCAAATAGCCCGTAACAGGTTCACACACTATGTGTAACAACTACATTCCCATGCATGAGAAAACTGCCAACTGCACTTCAGTAAACAGATGTGTCATTGGAATAACTCCCAGGTTTGTATGCATTGGAACAAATATGGACATATAAAATATCTGTGAGCAGGCACATTTCACCTGTTTTGGCAAGTTCATAGATTACAAGTCAGCTCATAGGGAAAAATATAAAAGGAACAGCAGCTACAGTGTTTAATCTGTGAGCAGCAAGCTGGTGGGAAGCTGCAGAGTACTATAGGATTTTGCATATTTTATGTAGTTGCACAGCAGCTTGACTGAGCCATCTGCACCACCCACATATTTTTCAGCCAACTATAATGAGTAAAACAGAGAATCAGCCTTGGTTAAAACCCAAGGAGCAAAGAAGTGCCAAGGGATACAGAAAAAAGCTTTTGGTTGCTCTGGAGTGTAACTATAAATAAACAGCAATCTGTAAATGTGAGCCTGCTCTGCCCAAACTCTTAGCTGAACCAAACCAGGCGATTGCAACTAGCACAGCACCACACCAGGCTCAACCTCAGACACCACTAAGAAAAAGTGTATGCCAGATACAGTGTCTTTGGCTGACTCATGCTACTGAAAGAGTTATTTGTGTCTGCCCACAAAAAGGCCAAGAAGATGCAGCTGTGCAATGGCTGGTGTCCCAAATTACCTTTACAATAAACAGAAAAAAAAGGCCAAAACAGATATCAGAATAGCAGGATCCCTTAATACCCTTAATAYACTGAGCACAGAACAGGTGGGAAAATTAAAAGTCAGAGGGATCATTTTATGCTGCATATCTGGTGTTACAGTCTCACAAACAAAACCATTATCTTACAGTCTGTGGTACCTCTTAAGTTGCAGCCAAAGTTACTGCAGCTGCAATATGGGCTGTGTTGCAGTTTCCTTCAGTTGCTATCAACACGAAGTTTTAAAAATGTGTGGGCAGGAAACAAATTTAGGTATGGAACTAAGCACGCTACAATAACCATATYGAGCCACAATAGTCTATTAATTTTCAGCCACATTTAATGGTTTATTCATACTACCTTATACCTTCATATTCATACTTCAGATGACGAGGTTGAACATTTTCAAATTATTTTGATGAATATACGGTGTAGTTATTCAGGTAAACAAATAAACCAGTGTTACTTACTGCATTCAGAAACCTCTCACATACATGCAAAAGTTAAATTCTATTTAGGTTATATACACTTGACATATAATAATACTTTGGGACAAGAAATACCTTCATTACAGTTTCTCTCCCGAAGGGGCAACTGGAAAGTTCTCACTTTTGGATTGCCAAGATTCCCTAAGACAAAAAGTCAAAGGCACAGTTTTAAATAATTTCAAAATAGACAAARGATAATATTTCATTTTAGAACATTTAAAAATGCTGCAACATTATTTCCAAAATAAGAGTCTTACAAAGAGCAAACAACAAAAATTCCACCAGACTCCTTTACCCTAAGCTGAGGTAAAATCTTGCTCCACTGTATTCTTCTTGAGACACCAATCTTTGGAACATGCTGCAAGTTACTTAGTGAACTGCACTCAAGATGCAGAACTAGAACTCAGTCCCAATTCTAATCTTTCTGAGGAAACTCTCTGCATTTCACCTTCCCATTTAACCTGACAACTACTTGCTCCATTCTAGAATGGAAATACTACTTTTTAACAAATCTCTATAATCAAAGGATCAAGTATTGTGGGACCTTAACTGGCTATGAAAAGTCTTTCTGGAATGGAAACAAAGAGGACAAGGAGTCTTTTCTTTATCAAATTTACATCCCCATTATCCTTTAACATTGTAAAGAACTTTTGAAATGCTTCAGCACAAATCCCTCCTCAGCCAAGAAGAGATTCTTCCCAATATCCAATAAACCTTCTAGAGATGTTTTTTTTTTTTTCTATTTTTTGTTTCCTTATCCTGAAGAAATTATTTTAAGGAGCTTATCTCTCAGAAATCCACCACTCTTTCAAAATAATACTACATGATAAAGGTTCCAGTTACATACTGCAGTTACTAACTGCAGCTGGAAAGGCAATTGCAGCATCCAGTTGCAGATTAAATACTAAAATCTAAGGCTGCTCAGGCTAAACCAAATTATTCGCATGAGTAGTATTTCTTGAAATTAATAAGGCAAAATCAGACAACAGACTACTGTAATGCAGTGATGTCAGTGGAGTCTGAAACCAAGGTGGAGTGTTTTTCACACATCCTCACCAAGATTAACTACAGTAGAAAAGCTTTTATTTACAAACAGCACATTCTTAGTAGAAACTGTAAGGCAGCAAGCTCAGCACTCTCTTCACCTGAGCACTGCAGAATAGCCATTTAGTCAATAGTCATCCTGCACCATTCTAACACAAACTTAATAAAGAAAACCCACTATTATGTTGGAATTCTGGATCCTTTAGAGTCCCTTGAATACGATGAGAGGGACCCCAGCAAGGCACAGAGCAGTTTTTTGCTGACTTCAGCACAGGAGTTGCAGAGGACTGCTCTTGATGGGCAGAAGCAGGAGGAACTTGTTCATCAGCAACCCTGTTAGGAGGCCACTGATCCTGCCTAAGTGGTAGAGGATCCACASTTCCCAGCCCAGCAGGTGGAGAGTTAAAGAGTGAAGTGGTTTCCATTTTCACATCAGGCTACAACACAAGACAAAGACAATATAGGAAGGATCAAAAAAGCACAAAACCACAATATCTCATATACAGCCTTTCAATACAGATCCTCACATATGCARCAAATTTTGACTTTACACTGTTATATTTCTCATGAAAGTTCTAAACAAAGAAGTATTCCAAACTTGTGAGACTCTGTAAAGAAAATCTGTTCATAATAACAAGTATTTAACATGGCCTGAAAGTAAACTAATCAGGTCAAGACAAGAGATTCTATTCTAAAACTGTGATTTTTCAGATTTTACAACATAACCAACTTCTCATGTGATTGTTGCTACTGTGATTGATTCTGTTTCTATTACAGGATTTACTACAGAGGATGCATGCAGTTAAACAGTAGCTGTCTTTGTAAAACAGAGACAACGCACAACTTGACATAAAAATCAAAATTTTGAGGATGACAAACCCTCAAAGTTTCTGTTTTTATTTAAGTAACTATGCGAGCTGCAAAGTAAAAGCAGCACAAAAGTAAAGAAAGAGTGAAACTATTATGGCACGTTAACCTATTTTGTATGTAAGCACCCAACCTCTCCCTCTTGAATTTCTTCCAACTCAAGCAATCTRGAGCTATAACCTATGTCAATGGCTACAGTAACATTTAGGGAAAATCCGACATGCTACCTTTTTATATTTCTGTAAACAGGTGCCATGCATTTAGCATAAAAAAAAAAAAAAGTGAAGCACATCTAATCTCACTCCAGTAGTCTCAACTCCTTTGTTCAACAGCCAAAAAAATCTATTTWTTCAAACATGTGCTTTTTTTAGTCACAGATACTGACAATTTTAAGACAGCAAGTAACAACTCAATAAAAAGATGTCTTAAATAAATTATTCATGGTAAAAAGCACATTCCTAAAATTCATAGTGGTAAGTATGTTTTCTGGCTCACCTGGAAGGACCTTTTTTTTGAAGGATTTGTTGATAAGTTTTGTGTCCTCTGAGCTGAAGATGGAGATTTGAATTTAGGAGCAGACACCAGAGCAGTACTTCCTACTGTATTGGAAAAGATAAAAAATACCTTATTACATTAAATGACCTAATAAATCATTTCAGTTAAGTATTCTTTTCCTTTAGTTCTTGAAACATTGCTTTGCATTTAGAGGTCTTTTTACCAGCAGCTGGGGTAGTATGATCATGATGAGTCCTCRGAGTTCCTCTAAGAGTTTTCAGCTTCTGAGTAGGAAGCCTGCCGCCTGTCCTTGAGGATACAGAAGAATCTGACACAGCTGCAGAAGTGTTCAATACTAAGGCATTCTCACTGAAAAAAAATGAGTAATGATTAAAGAACGAGCTAAGGACTCAGGAGCCTTGCACTCAAACTTTCTGGTTCTAATCCATTCCTAAAAAGAAGCCTAAGGCAAGACAGTTAAGGCCTGTAGGTAAAACATCTGCTTGCAAAAGGGGGGGCCCGGATTCCAGCCCTTTAGCCAGGTTTTCTGTATTTTAGAGGGTCTCAAGCTACAAAATAAGGCTCCCTCTGTCCCAAAAAATTCTGAAGGTATTGCTGCACAATACAGAGGCTCAAAAGGAGGGCTGGAAAACTTTGAACCCAGAAAAACTTTGAACATGGCTGCTACCTTGTAGCAACTCCCCTTAGAGGTGGGGAGTATGGGTTTGACATTCTTCAGTCAATGTGGTGGAACTGAAGCCTAATATCCCACATTTATGTAACCACTCTAGCCCCTAGGTTATTAAATACATTAGCACTACCACTTCAGTCTTCTTCCTCCAGGTGCATTTCAAAACGAGGTGGCTGCACATTSACAATATGGAGGAACCTGAATCTATCAGTGAATGACAGACACATCTAGGCAAAGAATTCTTCATTTCTACCTCTCAAGAAGGTGTAGATAGCATGCAAGTGTCAAGCTGCTCTGCTTGGCTGAGTCCAGAGCACATCCCAGAACACAGAACCACATTGCAACTGACAGAAAATTGTCAACGTCAGTCTGAGACATCTATGAACTAGATCATCTCTGGAATTAAACAGAAACTTGGGAAGGTTTTCCAGCTGATAGTTTAGAAAGCCTACATTTAGTATCTCTTGGAGTCTAATGTCTCAACTTTTCTTTGCCTAGGTTGTGCATACATGGTATTATCCCCAAAGGAGACAATTACAGTGCCTTACCTTTGATTAGTGCTGCAACACCAAAGATAAAATGCAATGGGGAATATAAAATATTTAACTGACATGGTAACAAGGGTCAAAGCTATTCAGAATTAAATGTCTATCAAACTAAAATATTGCTCTACCAAAAAAAAAGGTATGTAAACCTTGCACAGTACAAACCAGAGAGTTCTGTAACTAGAAACAATTTGGATCTCTCAAATGTCAAATACAGTACTATGCACATATTGAGCTGATCTCTYATTATTTGTAAATACCCCTCCACATTTTTCTCATCCGTGCTTAGTAACATATGAACCAGTGATTATTGGATATTAGGGGTTCTTTATTTCTCTTAAGTCCTTTATTTTTGTCTATGATTTTTTTTAAGAAAAACATATGCCGAATATTAGCATGTATCCTGTCCTATCAACCTTACACTTGAAGCAAAYGGTGAATTTCAATTTTCACTACACTTGGCTGCTGTGTAATGAACAGTCTGTTCTAAGAGGACTGTAMAGCAAATTTCATCGTTTTGGAGAAAAACCACTAGAATCATCCATGTGTTTACAAACTTCTGTCTTGCAAGTCAGATATGCAATATTTTTCATGATAGATCCACTTCCATCAACCAGCTCAATGTCTTCTCATCCCTTATCAAACTGTTGAAAACAAAAGTAGTCACACCAATTTACACTCTCTTAAGTAAATCTAGTTAAAAAAATAAACTAGTTAACCGATACATTTCTGAGCTTTTAGAGGAAATATATATTCACGCACACACACATACAYATCCAAAAAAGTGTTCAGTTCTACCCTTCAATTTTCTTATCTTCTTTGGCATCCTTATTGTTTTTTTCTAATTGCTGGCCCACAACTGCAGGCTGTTCATCTTGATTTTCTTCCTCTTTCTCTTCTGTTGAGAGTTGTTCTTCCTTTTCTTCCGTACCTTCTTGCTCATCCCAAGCTAAACGTCTTTTGACTGGAACAGTTAAAGCATCTGGCATGTCTTTCTTTGTGCTGTTCTGATGTGGTTGATCTCTGGAGTCAGGCTGCTGTAGCACTTTGGGGCTTGGTGAAGCCTCTTTTTCAGAAACACTGGGTAAGAAAGAACACAGTATTTTGTGTCACTGATTTGCACAATACATATGTGTCTGTAAAACACATTCATACAGTTCAGTTTGTTGCAAGAAGTAGAGCTCAGATATTAAAAAGTGGTACATTTCACATGATGGAAGATTAAATTGCCACTGAAGTTTTAACTGATGCTAAGTACGACTCATTTTCAAACTAGATCCTATGAAAACTCTTTCTACATCACCATTTTCAAAAATGCAGTGTAAATCAGAACTGTATTTTCAAATTAAAAAACAAGTTAGATTCCAAGAAGTGCTCAAACAACTATTCCCATACAAAGCCAAGCAGTTTAGAAGACTTCTCTTCAGGCACAACTTTTCAAAGCCGTAAACTCTCWATTACTGACAGAAATCAGTGCAAATTGGCCCAGTGCACAGAAATGAGGTCAGCAAGGGAACCTGTATTTCACAGAAGAAAACAAACCAGTAAACCAAAAAATGACACCGTACTTAGAATCACATATTATGGTGTCATAAATRCTATTTTACATGTCACTGCCAAACCCATATTAGAGCTACTCATGCAAAATGGGCAGATTTGTCCCACACACACAAGAAAGGAATGTGCATACACCAGTTCACAGTGAACTTCAGAAGCATCCAAGGCACTGTTTTCAAATATCAGATCACATTTTATTAACACACTAATTCTGAATTTTCCTAGCAAGGGTTTTAGTATCTGTCAGTTCTGACAACCTTAAAAGAAAGAAGAAAATGGATGAACACAGTTCCAGCTCCTAAGTATTAAGCTCTGAACTAAGCAGACTCAACCACAAAATTAATTACTCCTAAGAAGATCAATAACATCTGAGTAGGCAAAACACATTTCATATCATTCCAGTGGAAAGAAGATTACTTCAGTATGATTCAGTGCAAAATTCTTCCAAACTTGATGAGARTAAGGCTGCCACACTTAATATGCATTTGTGGAGAATTATAAAGTTATAGTCTTTCAGAAGACTGATCTGTGCCATTTTCAATTTGAGCACATGACAACTGACATACCTGTAAAAAGGTAAATGCCTTCATCTGTTCCAGTGAATTTACATATCATAGAATAGCACAACAGCCCAGGTTGAAAGAGTCCTCAAAAAACCAATCAGTTCAACCCTCCACGAGGAAAGGCAGCCTAGATCATTATTAAGCACCCTGGCCAACTGTATCTTGAATATCAAACATTCAAGATCCCACAGCTACGATAAGCTTATATTCAGCATTTTACTCTGTTTCAAAGCTGCAGAGTAACAGGCAGGAATGATGACCTTACCCAGCAAGATCTAGTGCTCTGATGTTGTTGCTGATTCCTTCTTCTGAACTGGAAGTTGAGGACACATCCCAAAGACTGTTGTTATCAGACAGGATCTGACTGAAATGGTATCGGGAGAAGTGTGTTCCCTCTACTTGTTGTCTGTAAGTCTTGGCTCTTTCTCGAAGTTCTCTCACCTACATATCAAAGTTTCATAAGTTGCACATCTGTTTAAATGTCACTATTAGGCTACTATAAATACTTGTATTAGCTACTGGCAGCTAGAAGAGAAAGGAAAATTACTCATAACACAGGGCCAGCCACAGCACAAACATTGCATGCCACAGTAAAGGTAACAAGGGAAAGCAAAAATATTATATTCAGTAAGCACATATTCAGTAAGCATGTTTCAGCCATGAAGCCAAAGCAAAATTATTCATTACACAAGCACAAAAATTTATGCAGTAACTATGAATAAGTTTAGTACTAGATTCTAGTTTTTCCATCAGCGCTCAGACACAGTGCTCCAAACACTGAAAGATGAACTTGAATGCAACCAACCTCCATATACCACATGGAATCTAGGGTGTTTTGAGATGCCTAAAGAGAAGAAYACAGAATTATTTTTAAATTTCTTCTTTTTCCTCTCAACACTCAAGGGTGATATTGTTATTACCACCCTTGTAACTTTACTTCAGTCAAAGTAAGAAATTAAATRTTAAAAACCTCTAACATAGCTCTATGCTGCCTCCCTCAGATTCATCAAAAAGCTCTAAAACAAGTACATTTGGCACTGGTATTCCACCAGTTTTTTGCCAAGSTTGAGGAAATGAATTTAGATTTCTAAGCATCAACACTGAAGAATACATCCACCACTAATACATAATTATTTCRAGTCAACAGATCTATCTGCATGTGCAATACTGAGCTTGTATGCTGCAAACATGGCAACTGTCTCTAGCTACACTGATCTTTGTGAAAAGCTAAATTTAATTAAAGAATTCTGGGTGCTACTGTATGCAAGGCATAATGTCAAAATTATTCCTTCTAAGCTATCAGTAACTGTAATAATGAGATACAAAACTGATACAAAACTGTTCAGGTGACAGTTTATCCCCTCTTCAAACACTATACGCTATCATTTTTACAGTTAAGACTATTTAAACACTCGCTGTCTTGTATCCTTCACCTGAACACAAAGTCAAAGAAGAAAAAGCAAAATCAAAATGTTTATTTATATTATTAAAAATAATTTTGTGATATCRTGTGAATTCTGGCTTACTAAAAAATGGTCCACGGGAAATAAGTATTTTGTCAAAGAGCAGAAGACTAATACTGACATTTCCTCTAGCACATTTTCATAACTTTTCTTTTTTATTTTTCCTTCACTACAGATTTCACATCATTCCTCCTGCAAGACACAGTCAGTGGGCTAAATKCAGCTAATCCCACTAAAAATAACTGGATACAGCTAACATCCCACAATTTGACCCACTAAACTTCCAAAGAAAAGCCCATTAAAAATATATGCTTGTTGTTTTCAAAGGAGAATTTAAAGTTTGATGTGCAAGTGATTTACTGGATTACTCACTTTAAGCAGAAGAATAAAAAATTAATTATGATAGCCRGAACAGAAGGAATGTAAATCCAGAGCAACAGGGTACTGCAGAGGGAGGAAGAATACTAAGTCTCCAGTGAATTGTGAAGAAGTACAAAGGACAGCCATCTCCTTCAGCGACTCAGCAGGCAGCATTAACTCAGCAGGACACAGGCCCAAGAGAGTTCTACTGTGATTATGAATTGCCCACATTAATTTTTCAAATGCATAATTGGAAGAGATTCTTTTTGTTCGACTGCTGAAAAGCATCCTTAGCAATAAATTGCASAGAAGCAGTCTACAAGTAATCACTATGGCTAAGATCACACCAGGATTCTATTATGGCATTTGCCAGTTTGGACTAAGAACTTCAGGAAGTGTGCTTTGGACACAAAGTCACCCATGTGCAGTCCCAGCTAAGGGAGAAACGGGACTGGATTAGTTGGAGTTTATCATCTAATTTCTTGCTAAGCAAAAAATGTTCTATAGCCAGCTTTCACAGGGTTGCGTCTCAATAATCTACCAGAGGTTAGATAACACTTTGGAAGAATATTTCTCTTCATTAGTGTCAGAAAAGATATGGAATCACATAGAAAGGAAAAGGACTGTTGGGCAGCCTATACTGTGAATCGCCAAAGTACCTCTGTTACTTTACAACAAAACCAATGTACTTGCCACTCTTTTTCAAATTATGCATACTTTCATTAATATGCTGTTAACATTTCTTAAAAGTCTGGATTCTTTTTTTATGTCACAACTATGAATGAAATACAATATTGAGTCCTGCTATGTTACAGAATGATAGAATATCCCAAGCTGGAAGGAACTCACAGAGAACACCAACGTTCAGCTCCTGATCCTACACAGGACACCCCAAGAGGCCCACCATGTGCCTGAGAGCACCATCCAAATGTTTYTTGAACTCTGTCAGGCTGGCGCTGTGGCCACTTCCCTGGGGAGCCTGTTCCAGTGCCCAACCACCCTCTGGGTGAAGAACCTTTTCCCAATATGCAACCTGAACCTCCCCTGACACAGGTTCCTGCCATTTCCTCGAGTCCTGTCACTGGTCACCACAGGAATGAGATCAGTGTCTGCCCCTATGTCTCACCTTGTGAGGAAGCTGTAGATAGATACAAGGTTTCCTCACTCTCCCCCAGGCTGAACAAACCAAGAAACTTCAGTGGTTCCTCATATGGCTTCCCCTCAAGGCCCCTCACTATCTTTGTTGCCCTCATTTGGGTGCTCTCTAACATCTTCTTTATATTGTGACACCCAAAACTTCACACAGTTCTCAAGGTGAGGCTGTCCCAATGCAGAGCAGAGCAGAACAATCCACTCCCTTGCCAGGCTGGTAATGCTGCACTTGATGCAACTCAGGACACATTTGACCCTCCTGGATGCCAGGGCACTGCCAACTCATGTTCAACTCACCATGGACCAGGACCCCTTGGTCCCACAGCACTGCACTCCAGCATCTCATCTTCCAGTCTGTACATACATGAATTCATTGTTTTGCTTTGCTTGCATGCATGGCTCTTGCTTTACCTATTAAACAGTCTTTATCTCGACTCAGGAGTTTTGTCAATTTTACTCTCCTGATTTTCTCCCCTACCCCACGGTGAGGGAGTRAACAACTGGTTGTTTGGGACATAGCTCCCTCTTGGGGTTAAAACACAACATATGCTCACAAAAACGTAATTTGAAGGCAGGAGAAAGTCAGGTAACTGCAATTTTAAGTCTCTTCTATATGAACTCAGACTAGGATCTAATGTAGGTATGCACACATGAAAATGTGTATGTAATCAAAGCACATACATCATCAATAAAGTATCCGTTATTATAGTCTTAAAAATAAATTTGGTTCTTCCAGCTACTAGAACAATTCCTCCATTTGTTCTGGTCCCCAGAAGGCCCCCAAAAACACAGTAATTCTTTTTTTGAATTCTTCATGCCTACGACCAAGTAACTTTTTTCCAGTTTCCTGCAATTCCTTTTTCAGCAAGAAAATGTCTGTGAAAAAGTCTGGCACACCCAAAACACATCTTGACAAGTGTGGGAAATGCTTTGTTTCTCATACACTCTAATTAAATGCCACATGTAAAGTTGAACATCCATCCTCCATTTGCAGTCTCCTCATTCTTTCCCTCAACTGTACTGCAGTGACTCCTCCCAGCTGACTGTGCCAAACACACTATATCCCAAAGCAATGCATCTTTAGCTACCTATCCTTTACTTGCCTACCAGTCAATTGCTCTTGAAGCTGAGCACTTCTCCTTAGTAGTTTGAATGTTTCATGACACAACATCAACAAATCAAGTATTATATGCCAGAAAAATGACATAACATTCTACAGAAACATTCAATATACCACTTAGGCTCCATGCAATAGTTCACATTTTGCAACCTTAGTTACAGTAAATCTAATGCATATATCAATGCATACAAAAATTAAAATATTGCTTCTTTTCAGTCCTCTAACATCCTCTTGAGGCTGTTTACAGAACAGATTATCTCATGCATGCGTACAAAAAAATCTGATTATGAATCATCTCATACTTTAATATACTTGAAATTTTGAGACCTACTTCTCATTGCCTATTTTTTATGTACTCCATAAATATTTCTTTTTACTAAAAGAAAAATTACTTGCTAGATTAAATCTAGCAAGAAAACACAGAGCTGAAAGCTACCAAACTCCTCTTGCAATTCTCAGAGAACCTTATTTTCAAATACTCAAAGCAGCAGCCTAGAACCATTTGCTCCAGTTCTACCTCCCACATCACTGTGGACCCAACTGATGAGGAAGATCACATTTCCACACAGGTATTTGTGTATTTGCCACACAGGTAGCAGCACACTGTCTCACAAAGGCTCCCTCTAACAGCTGGAAGAAGACTAAGTCAATTCAGTGAAATCAGAGAGCTGCAGAACTAGCTCTAGAAGTTTCTTAGCACACTATTAGTGGTTTTGATTTACTTGAGTAACTCCAGAAATCAGACTTAATCATGATAACAAATGTTTTGGTGTTGAAGCTACTCAGCAATTTCAGAGTTCTGTCAACTGAGTTCCTATACCATACAATATGGATTGCAGATTCTAAATAAACTACAAGAAAATAGAGATTGACTGAAACTTGCAAGAAAATTCTCAATTTTATGTTGTGCATGACTGATTCAGCTCCCTGCTTTGAACTGATTCAGCATGGCAAGCTAACAAACTGAGCCTGACTATCAAGACAGCCTAGGCTAACRTGTATATTGTCCTTTTCCTTTTTATTCCCTTGGAATCTCCTATCATTCATTCTATTTTGAGCAATTCTGCTTGTTAAAACTGGGCTGAACATCAACAATAAGATTACCTGCCACAAGAGACTCTGTTCTGYATGATCCTGATTGTAAGAGAAACAAGACTTCTAGCTCCCTTTGGATGTCACATGAATATATTTTTTTAGTCTCACCATCTTTTTTCCCCTATGTATTATACTGACTTGTCAAAATCTAATTGTTTTTGTATACTCGCCTTTGGGAGCTTGAGTCATTAGCATTACAATCCCAAAACTGTATCTTATAAAAACCACAATTCAAAGTTTTTACATCTAAAAATCAGAATACTAAGCATACTCAAATTTCAGATTTTCTAGGAACACTCACCTGGTTGTGAGCTTTACTCTTAATACGAAACCAAGCTCCATCTTTGTAGAAATACTGGGCTGGAGACAAAAATTTTGACCTATATTCAGTGTTCATCTTCCTAAGAAATCAAGAATGAGGAGAGAAAATAAAAGTAAAGCTTGATGTCTAAAATACTCTTTAAGAGTAACTTTCAAAGTTACATCAACAAGCACAAATATACTTGCACCTAAATGCCAGTGAGATGCAAAAAACCACATGTACAAACAACAACTCAAACCAACACAACTAGGAAAGCAGCGAAAAATACTCATTCACAGTTGGTGGTCCCWCAAGTAGTTACTCCTGTTGCTTTCTCCTTGAAACACTTCCACTAGAAGCTTTTGCCCTGACAGCCAAATCAGAACATAATAGCCTCAATTAATTCAATGCAAAATGTGAGACTTTGATTTAAGTCACTGATGAAGGTACATTTAAGGAAAAATGCCTGGTTTGGCACTATTGTGTCTGAGACATTTCCTTCTATGAACTCCACTTTAAAGGCGTTCTGCATATGGGTGGGGTGAGCTGCTGGGGCTACAAACATCTGACTGCCAGAACACTGGTCAGTATAATTCATCTCACTATGTCCTACTGGCTTTGATCTTCAAAAGGCCTTAGTACTTGAAAAGATGGGTTCATTTTTCCCTTCTGCCACACACATACAAACACAGAAAAATTAACAGCATCTAATCTATAGCAGGCAACAAGGAAYACCCCATGTCCTTAAGCATTGAACTGTGGACATATCAGCTTAAATCTAAAGACAGTTTTTTATTTAATCATGCTTCAGAAAATCACCAACTTAATTGTAATACATTCAGCACTAGGTGAAAAAGCCCTATTTTTCAATCCTTCTTCAGAAATAGGATGTAAAAGCCTAAAGTCAGAGAATAAAATGAAACTTGTAAAAAGAAACATACCAAGGTCAAAAAACCCTTTATACTCAAAACTTCTTTCAATATATCCCTTTCTTTAAAACTGACAGAATTCCTTCACTTTTGGGTGCAAAACTCATGGATTAGCTCAAACAACACATCACTGCTGTACATTAATCCTAGTCACTCTGCTGCAAAAGCAGGCCATGCAACACAACTGGCATGTAAGTAAGAATCCTGCCTGCATATTGAGAATTYGCACATTTCGACAGCTATCAGCTCAGTGATGTTTTTAGAAAATTTTGTCTTGTGCTACTACATTGAAAGCATAAGAGGCAGAAATTTGCCCTTAGATGAAAAGAGCCCCAGCAAATGATCAAGAATTTTGCACATTGCTCACCACAAAATTGACTAAAATCTACTGTACAGAGCATGAAAACCAAACAGTTAAAGGCTTTATCTATACTATATTCACTCTCTTTTCCATAAAGCAATTTTATTTCATYGAATTTTGGGTGATTATTGTGCAATCAACTCCCAATATCCAACAGCATTCAAACCCAGTTAAGTCTGTTCTCCCATCTTCAATCTAATGTCTTAACAYTGCCACAAAGAATGAAAGCAATTGCTGAGGCATACATTAAGCACAAACACAGGAGAGATGGATGATTCTATCCATTTTAAAGCCTACTTCTCGGCTTTTATTTCTCTTGACATATCTCAGATGTGTATGAAATAGAAATACAAGTTCAATTCCTGCAATGTAGGCATGTGGCAGAAAAAAAGAGACACTTTGACAGCACTCAATAACATACAATTTCACTTAATTTCCATGCTTGTCAGAATACTCTAAATGGGACAGATTTCTTTACTTCCCTTAACCACATGTGCTTGCTTTTGTTACTCAGGCACAAAGGGCCTTACAGAGTACAACAAGCAGACATCAAGTACAATCACCACAGTTTTAAGATGTGGAGTAAACACAGCAGAGCTGCAGTGCAAGAGCTGTCACTTGAAAGGTGACTACAACTTCCAAAGCAGCTGCTGAAAGTTTAGCAGCAGCACTGCACCAATTTTATTTTATTCCTGTTAAATTTATTAACACTACTATTACTGCACCACAATGTTCAGCTGGAGTAGTTACAAAGTTTCCACTTCTGCTGCCCCGAGAAGAGGATGGGAATTATCAGGTTTAGATGCATCCATAAGAAGCTCAATCTCAGCGCTGCAAGRGGGCATTTGCCCCTGCAACTGCAGCATGGTGTGGTTAAAGGTCCATAGTCCATCATTCTAAATACTAGGCTGCTGTACACCTATTCACTAGTCTAGGTTTTCCTGTTTTATACATACCCACGACTTGTATGTAAAGTGAGGGGCTTTGGACTGATATGTTGCTTATTATATTGTTTAGGATGTTTCTGTTCTGATTTCCCTTGTTTTGTTGCATCTTCTGCTGGTTTTTGAAACGGTTCTTCCCTTTTACTCTAAGGCAAAGATAATTTTAAAAATACCACATTAGCTAACAGTCTGAAAACCCTCATACTTCTCTTGACATCAAGCTCTTTCAAAGAGTTAATTTTATTTCAGTGTTAACTGTTTTGCATATTTAATACAAACACGAATATCACATTATTTTGTTAATACAAAAATAAACTAGCAAAATGCCAAAGCTAAGTTTGAGCACAACATTCTGTTGGCTAGATGATTCATTTTGTCCACTCTAGAAAATTAATTTAACATGAAACACAGAAATAAAATAATAMGATACCTGAACATTCTAACCTGAGTACAAACGGCAAATTTTTTAATTCTTTATTCTGTTTTATAAATGTTTAGATTGATTTGTTTGGGTTTTACACCAAAGATTTTTTCCCCTGATTATATTATTCTCTGAGAAATCCCATGCATGATTTCTTCTTCTGCCAGAGATCTTCAAATATTCAGATATTGTTCAAATTGAATTTTTTTTAAAAAGCCCACCAAAATCCCCAAAACATTATCAAGATATTCATCAGAGAAAAGGTACTGGTATAAACAACCAGTTTTTCAGATACTTTCACAAAATCCTCTTCTCATGACTTCTCTTACTTCATTTATTAGCTGTTCTCAAAAAACAACCTGAAATTCCAATATTAAAATTAAATAAATGCTTCCTGAAAGCCTCAAGCTTTTCAAGCTTTCTTCATATCTACTTAAGCAAAAGGGGACATAAAATTTCTCATCCCCAGATGGGATATAAAGAACTGGGCAGGTCTGAGTTTAAATGATAAAACCTCCAAGCCAACGATTCCCTCCAAAGTACCAGGGGCTTAAACTAAGCCAAGGCACTGCATGCAAAGTACACCTTTTGCTCAGCTGTGCTCCTAGTGAACACCTCGTCTGTCAATGGCCCTTTCTGTTCTATCAGGAACAGAGATGGGTAGTGAGGAGATGTATATTAACTGGGAGCATCACACAGCTGGTACAACCCAGGCCAGATGATTCCTAAAAAACAAGAATGACAGCTTTATGGAACAGGTCCTAGGGGAGCTGACTCAGAAAGGCAAAAAAAAGCAGGTGTATGCTCAGTAGAAGCAAAGTCAGGTGACATGGAAAGAATACAGACATGCTGCTTACTACTGTAGGGAGAAAATTCACACTATCTCTGATTTATGACATTCAAAAATCTCCAGACCTCCCAGCCAGCCCTACTGCACACCAAAACACAACACTGATAGCAATCAGAGTATAAATTTGAGATTTAGATTGCAGAGATCTAAACCCTAATGTCTAAATAAAGTGTCAATAAAAAAAAAAAAAAAAAAAACTAACAAAAAACCCCACTTCAAAACTCAGAAACTTGAAACTTTAAACTGAAAAAATGCACTACAGAAACTACAGAACCCACTACAGAAGCCCCAAAGAGCAGAGCTGTACAGTATTATTTTCAGTCTTTTACAGCAAAACCACKACTGAATCCACTGTTACTAGCAACAGCTCTACAATGTAACAAAAAAATTTCAACATAAACCCACCCCCTTACAGAATACATCAAAACTATAGAAGTGTTACTGAAGYTTTTCTTTCAGGGAAATATTAGCTTGTTCACAAACCAGAAATTCTTYGTCTTCTGAACCATCTCTCTCTTGTGGACTCTTAACAAGAGGAGACCCTTTGGAATTTCTCTCATATGCAGTTTCAGAAGTAATTGCAGGAGATTCAACCGGAGGTATGGATTTCTTTGAGTTGCAAATAAGCTGTGCAGGAGGAAGAAAACAAAACAAAACAAAAAAGTGTGGTTTACCTTAAGGCTAAATTTTCAAAATCTGTTAACTTATTCACACAAATACACTCCCATAARAGCAAATGCAGTCATCTGTACAAATACAGCATCTGTAGACTAATKAATTTCTAGGAGAAATTCAAGAGAAATTTAAATATATTTTAAAGTGACCAAGCAAGACACAGTTAAATCTATGATGAAACTGTTCTTACTGAAATTTACTGTGAGAGGGGTTGTTTATTGTTTGGGGTGTTTTTGTTGTCCTTCAAAGCTTTATGTAGGATAAGTTTTTTAAAGGCATGCCATAAAACTTCCATATGAGTCCCCAGTACATGTCCTGTCCATAAGAAACAGAAAACTACTCTGAGTTTTAGAGCTGGATCCTCATAGCTTGGACAAATTAAAATACACTGGTTTTCAACTAACATGGTACTATAAACCAAGGTAAAGAATTTGCTTAATATGTGGTTTCATGGGGTTCTGATTTTCAAGATCATGCCATAGGTGAGAAGCATATACTTTCTGTAGATTTGCTATGAGAATTTAAGGCTGACTCATAGCCTAACTTGGATAACTTCAGTATTTTCACAGACTCTCTTCAAGAGAAAGGTATTATCGATATTCGGGTATATTCTCAGTCATATCAACAGTGAAGAATATGAATTTGTTAATATGTAAAATTTTTATCATTAATTTTTCCTTAAATTCTACTTATCCATGGATATATARCGCCTACAGACTTTTTTCACTGCTTCTTATTTTATATAAGCTGCGAAAAAAAAAATCACAGTCTTTCTTCTGAAAAAAAGCACAATGTTCACAAGCRTCAATAAAGAAATTATTAAACTGGTTATACACAAAATCAAATGGAATTGTCTTTGACTTTTTCCATAAGATGACTTTCTGGGACCTGCCTCTTCCTCAAAAGGTCCTTTGGCTTCTCTCTACTACTATCAKGTGTTGCAGTGAGTCTTCACTGGATAAGGTACTGCTAGGAAAAATCCTACAGTAAATCCACCTGCTTGACACCCTAGCAGAACAAGACAGGATAGTAATTATCTTARTTATCAAGATTTATTGCTTCTGAAAGCTGTTACTGAACAAATCTGCCACCTGAGGATAAAAAGAGCACACCACCGCTAGTAATCCCACTAATGTATAGGCTTCTAGTGAAGAAACAGAAGGCAAATGCAGAAGTGCTTATTTTACACTGCAAAATGACCAAAAGACTGAGTATCCTAGGTCCCAAGCCCATAAAAAGTTAATTGCAAACACAAAGCAATCTCACACTCAGTTACTCTTTGTGGTCTGACTAAAAATAGCAGCATTTTCAACCCTACAAAGCCCAAAAGCTCATGAGATGCATTAAAACACCACAAGAGTATCTTAAAATCAGAAGACTCCACTTCTAAATATAAGCTGTTCTTGTGAAAGAATAAAACACTAGAGAGACACACTTTAGTTCTTAGAAGTGTATTTGAACAGAGATGGAGACTGAGAACAAGAAACTGGGGCAACACAAATTAATGCAAACAGAAGATAATCCTGTTAGAACGAAATACAGTGCCTAAGGAGAACAAATAATTAGACCTGACCACAATAAAGAATCACGTGGAAACACATCCAATCATACTACACTCCTGTACAGTGAGAGAGAAAAAAAAATCATGTAACAACATTAAAGTTTGTCATTCCCTCACCAAAAGAGCAAAAAAAAAAGGAAATCTGTTTGAAAGGAAAACTTTGCTGATAGGTAAAAGAAAGCATTAATTTACTTTTCGTATTCTATAAAGTTACCTGCTCAGCTGCAAGTATTGGTGACATTTCATGTGGACTCTTCCAGACAAACTGGCTCTGATATTCAGAATTTCTGGGGAAAGTCTGTGGAATATTTACGTTTGTTTTCCTCTGAAGGGGTCTGTGAAACTGGCAAGGTCAAAAATTAAAAAAAAACAAAACAAAACAACAACAAACAAAAAAACTCAAAAACAACCCAATGATTGTTCCCTTTCCTACAATGTTTTTCGAGTCAGACATCTTTCAACACACACTTTTAAAACAATGGTTTGGGTTTTGGTTTCAGGAACAAAATTAATGCAAAGTACATTTTCTAAGTCAATATATTATTGGCTAAATCCTTGTTTAATTGAAATCAACAGTGATGACACATGAAGAGCAAATTCCTATTGAATTAAGTAGCACCAAAATCTGATGTCAAACATACCCTTCTCCCAACAGAAAAGCTACAATGGAGTATCAAAATACAAAACTAAGGAAAGAGTTAGACAAGAGTCTGAGCATGTGCGTGAAATTACTGTTTGCAATTTTTAGACAGGTCAATTAAAAAAAAAAACTATTCCCTTACCCCGTTACTAATTTTTTCTGATTCCTTTTTTGGAGATGAAAATGCTTCATTTTGATTTGGTGGAATTTTGGAGGGTGATTTCTTCATGTCGTTCTCTCCAAGGGCAAGAGCTGTTTCACCACTAGAATCTACCAATTGTAACTGAACTTTTGGGGAGAGTCTGGGTTCTTCTGRCATTTCAAGTTTTTCCTGATCCACATTATTGTTGTTGTGGTCTGTGTGCAACTCTGCAGTTTCGATTTCCACTGGGTCACTCAAGTCACAATCTGCGGTCCATTCAAGGGACTTCGAAATCTGTGGATTATGGTAAGGTACCCTTCTCTTGGAAATGAATTTTGGTTCTCTCGTGATTCCTGAGAAAAAGCCATATGAAGTTTAAGAAAAACATTCTACTGAAGACATAATACCACTCTATAACAAGAATAAACTGAAAGTTTATCATACAACTGATTACTAGAAAGCGTGGGTTTAGTATCTTGGAGCAGTGACAGACTATGAATTATAGATGGCTGCGAAATTCTGTGTTATTCCTCATCTGCAAATGACTTTCTGCTAAACAGATGGGAACATGGTGCTCCAGAACCAGGCTGGATTAAACCCTATATAAAGCAAAAATGTCCAGAGGACAATCCTGTGCAAAGGGGTGCTGGGAGCTGAACAAGAAGAAAACTAACACAGCAGTGAAAAGAACATGGTTAACACATACAGAATAACCAACCTGTGGGGACTAAGCAAGATACAAGCACTTCTCATTACACATGCACAACACACCTTGCTCAACAGGTTCTCTAATTGTGACAGATCTTTATTCATCTGCAATTTAAGACCATCTCCATAACTTTAACAGTATCAACACAAAACCATTTCCAAACGTAGAAAAATATTTTGTAACAAAACCAGGTATCAAGTTATCTTAAGAATTGCTAGGCTTTACAGGTAGGTGAAAATAAAATTATCCCACCATTTTAAGAAGAGTATTGAATGCCTGAATACATTTGAAGAGGGAAATCATAATCCACTTCAAAGTGCTCAACTGCGATGAAAAATCAGTGAAAGCCCCTAAATGCCTGAAAGAAATACCTTCTATGAGAGAGACACTCCCATCCTGTGAAGAAGCAATATAGAAAGAGAGAACAACCTATGGTGAAAGGTATATAGAATTTTCATACGTCTGGCTACATATATAGGATAGGAAAATCATTCCAGTAGCARAACACTGGAAAAGTAGCAAAAGGCATTTCAAGCACCTCAGCTGTCAACTTTTTGCTGTAATGTTCCAAGTGATTTTTAAAATTGCAAATTATGTGACTCAACAGAAAGAACTATAACTAGATTATCAGTAACAATCTGCAAATCCTATGAAATACCAAGAATGACATTTAAACATGTGGAAGGTTATATAGCCAGAGAAGAGGTGTGAAAATTAACACAGAAACGTAGAAAAGGTACACCAAGCATGTASAAAACCACCATTACAATGTGAGAAAGAGGAAAAACCGCTGTATTGTTAACTCATGAGTTTATTGCAATCCTTGTAAAATTTGCAGTTTAGTCTGACTGGAAAATGAGCATGGGTTCCCACTTTAAAAAGAAGTTAACATGTTCAAGCATTTCAGAATTCAGAATGTGAAAATTACAGTCCTCAATAAGAGGTACCCATATACAGACCCATGGGGTAGGGAAAGCAAGAAAGATGTATTTTGCAGTAATGAAAGAAAGCAATAATATATATATATAAAGTATATTTAGCAAGATTAAGTTATTTATTTAAAAGTCTAGCACCTTAACTAAAAAAACCCTACTGCCAGGAGACAGTAGGGTTTATTATTGTAGGAATGAATGCATTGTACTCTGATTACACAGACTGCACAGTGCAGTTGCACTGAAATGCCCAATTTTTTTTATCTGTCTTGTGCCACTACGATAATTACTATTYTTTACTACTCCTTTTCAAAGTACTGCAGTTGTCATCATTCTTCAGCCTATTCCTCTTCCTCAACTCCCTACAGGCCTTTCAATCCAAATGCTACTTCCTTTWTCTTCTGCTTTCTATCCCATTTCCCTGCCATGATAATGTCTACAATCCTTAAATCTTAGGCTACAGTATCAYGGTGTTTTCAATTTAATGGTTGACCTTCTCTTTTGGTTACCTASACCTGTTAAGTTCATAACGATTTTACTTTCTCAAACTCTGCCCCAAGTTAGTCTCTCCTTAAAAACTGAATTMTATTCGCTATTTCCATATATCACAGATAATCCAATATGGATTAACATCCTATATGGATTAACACCGTACCTGTGATTCATGCTTGGGTTTTGGCTTTTGCTGCATGTCAGAAACTACTTTATATAAATAGCACTAATTGAAAAGGGTGTCAGTGTAGCCATAAAGAATATGGAGTTCAAAAACACATTCTAACTGATGACTAAGACATACGTTTAATTTAATTACAAATTGCACAAACACCACCAGTTCACTGCAGCCATGCACCCATCACAACAAATCTTTCTGGGCCTTGGCTGCAACCAAGGGGRCAGCTTTCAGGGGCACTTACCAAACTGATCCGACCGAAGTCCTGCCCACAAGGATTTCTGCTGCTGGGACGGGCTACAAAACTCTGGGCTTCTCCATTTGAAGTTTCTCTTGTATTCACTCAGTCCCTACAGAAAATAGAGAGGAGTCTGCCAAGGCACCGGGGCATATCCCGCTCCATTGCTCCTGTCGATAACAGATCTCCAAGGTGGGGGGAAAACATCAAAACGCGGCTGCAGGATGAACTACGCTTGCASCTTGCTCTGCATCTGCCAAACCCACCTCATCGGAGAACAAAAACTACTGCTGAGAAAACGTGGAAGCACTTCATGTACCAAGAAATAACATAAAACAAAACCTCCCAAATCAAAAATATGTATCTCGTGTCTTCAAGTGAATAGTTTCAGGAATAAACACAGCATGGACCCGCTGTCACCCGCACGGCTGAACTGTTTATGTCTTTACTGGCCGCCGCCGTAGCGCAGGGGCCTCCCCTTTTCCGCTACCCCAGGACCGGCCGCAGCCCCGCTCCTGCCTCCCCCTGGGCCCGGGCCCGGCCCGTCAGACCCCATTCCCGTCCAGCTCACCCTGAACCGCACGGGCATGGCGAAGTCGCGGCCACAAAACCGCCGGGCCCCGGGTCCCGAGCCCCGAGCCCCGAGCCCCGCGCCCCGCCGCCGGCCSGGCCCCACCGTGCCCGCCTCCCCTGGGCTGGCCGGGCGCCTGCGCGATGGCTGCCCCGGGCGGGTCGGGGGAGTGCCCGCCGCGCCGCTTCCCCGCCCGGCCCTGCCTGGGGGCCATGTCGGCCGGGGCTGGGCACCCACTGTGCTCGCAGCGGTGCTGCCGCGGGTGGTGTCGCAGTGWTGTCCACATTAAAAGCCTGATCCCTTGCCCACGGCAGGGCAACGGTGCCGTGCGGCCAGCGCTGTGTCTGGGGAAGCACGGCGGGGAAGCACCCGGTGCTAATGTAGCGCTAAGCCGGGGGGAATCTCGAGTGCCTGCTTACAAANAATCACGTACCTACGCACGCAGATTTGTGTTGGTAGAAAAATGGTATTACGAGAAAGGAAAAAACTAAGTTTCCTACCCTTCTAGAGCTTCTGCGACGGCGTGCCAGTTGCCGGTCCGCCTTCGCCACCTCAGCCGACCTCGCCACCCGATCAGGAGATCCTAATCCACCTTCTTCTTCAGATCTTCCCTCGGGGGTCGCTTTTCTGACGGCCCTCCCCTTGCTAATCTCCATCCTGACTGCTTGTGACTGTATCAAATTAAAAAGGACAGAGAGGGTAATTTAAAAAAGAAGTGTACAGAAGGACGTGCCGACCAAGAACGGCCCGAGCGGTCTGTTTGCATTCCCTGTTGCCCGTGGCTGCCAACCCTCCCCTGTTCTGTCGCTGTCGCCTCTAGAGCAACAAAAGCTTCTTGAGCGAGAGCTTTGTCACCTCTGCCTCTGCAAAGCACCCTGCCAAGCATGGGAGGAATGTCAGAGCTAGACATMGTGACACAAACAGGGTTTAGATCCGGTGGGACCCTGTATCACCGCTGAGCAACAATTTTGTACTGTCGATGTGGGACAGGAGAGAGCAMCAAGCTGTGATGAAACGCTTGCGAGCCAAATAAAATTCTCTGCGATGCGAACAGCGCCGGGGAGGAACAGGAGAAAGGTGCTGCGTTGATGGTGTTTACAAGTTCACACATCTTTATTCAGGAATTTCAAGATCAAGACAATAATTTTGGTGTCATTTGCTTGCAATTGCACTTGAAACTGCTCGGTCCACCTGACAAAGTAGTTTGTTTTGTTATTACAGTGATTTATTTCGTAACGTTCAATCAGGTCTAGTTCAGTACATTTTCTAAAGCAAGGCGCAAACTTGCTACAGAATGTGAAAAGCCAGCTGGCAAAAATACAATGTTCAGAATACATGTTCCAGGTTTGYCAGAAGTCTTTCCTCTTTGATATGTATGGTAACCAGGCCAAACATAATTTCCATATGTTTTTAGGATGTTTTGAATTACCAAACTACAACAATGCTTTCATAGATGGTTTTGAGGGCTGTCTGAATTTGGAGATGGATTTGATTCTTTAGTGTAGAAACATAGTGGGAGACCGCACCATCCTGAAATGCAGATTATTATATTTCTTAACATATTTTTTTAGAGATAAAGCACAATAAATTATCTTGAAACAATGTAATTCACATTCCTCTTTATGCACTGATTGATTTAAGTTGCATTTTAGATCCTCTCCTTATAGTTAAGAGATATAAATAGCTTATGTGGGGGAAGCGCTTTGGTCAGTATATCAACCAGTGAGCTACTAGTATCTTTACCTCATGTTTTTTATCACTGCTGATGTATACCAGCCCCTTCAGGTTCAATGTATACACATTACAGTAATTCATGGCAATATGATGTAAGAATGCTGAGATGCCTAGGCCAGTAACAGTATTTCCATATGAAGATTGAATAAATAATGAAAACATAAAAATGGATCTGTGTGTAGAAAAAGTTGCTCTGAATTCACAAATTCACAGTCTGGAAAAGTAGGAAAGGATTTCTTCCAGTTTGCTGGAACATAAACTTGCAGGGACCAATATAAATGTGTATCCCTCAGTAACTGTATCATTTATTGGATCCTACTGTTTAAAGAAATAAGCATTTAAAGCGTGTGTTTAAGTATATCTATGTAGTTTTGAGTTCAAGTCACTTCACATTTCTGTAACACTTGAGAGATTGACCATCTTCCTCCTTTATTTCCTATAAAGCAAATATAAGTATTTTAATTTGCCTTGCTGATTCTTACTCCAGATTTAAATTRTCTTTTTGCTGTTCTTCAAGTTAATCAAAAGATGTGGTTTCTTTTGGCAAACCACATAAAAATTATTTTGATTTTTTAATATGTATAATTTCAAATGAGTAATTTGTGACCCATAATTTTTTTCTTTTCACACTGTTTATTTTCCTATTWGCTTCACCACATCTTGCTACATGTTCAGACCTTAATCTTTGACCTTTTCTGTCTCTTCACCCCGGCACTCTTGAGTCCTGACTTCAAGGCTTGAGCAACTTTCACTTGAACTTCAGCCTGTGAACAGCTAATTATTACGTCTAACTAAATAGGGACCTTCCTATGACCTGTTTGTCTCGCTGCTTATAAACTCSTATACCACAGACAATCCTCCATTAGAGTTGGTAACCTGAAGTCTCTTTCTTTTGGTTTAACACTGGAGGTGTCTCCTGCCAAAACTCAGAGCTTGATGTATCAGCAATCCTCCCTCCAGCCAAAGAAGGCTAGAYACAGCTTGCTGTGAAGCCTGACAACTCCACTCGATGTGTCAGCCCGAGGGAATCAAACAAGAGCAATGAAACGTGTTTTCTACCTCTAGAATCTGTAGCCTTTGGCACTCACTGGTAGAGGAGTAAAGGAGGAGCGGTAGCACAGCTGGCCTGGCTCAGGTCCCATGGTTTTACTCTTAAGAGCAAAWGTTTCTTGTGCAAACTTGTCCCAGCTTATTTTACAACTCATTTAGAAACTGCAATGGTAAAACTACTTTAATTTTAGAACTCATATCAGTCCCTTTTTCAAGTGACAAAGCTGATCCAGCAGTCATTAAAGGGCAGTGTTTTGTTGCTTACTGGGGTCTGTATTTGATGATATCCTGGCTTCATGTCCCTGAGCTTGGCAAAAGTATTAATTCTTATAATCTGAAAGCAGCCTGCCTCTCTGGTACAATTACATTCTGAAAAGCAGAAAAGCTTATATAGTTCTTCTTTATAACTGTAAAAGAGGTCATAAACATGAAATATGGATACATAGATCCGAYTCTCAACCTACCATCTACTTATTTGTGCATTGTATTCTCTTAGGGCAAAACACTGTCAAAAGTGATGGCTGCCTTTGAGAACTTCATCTTTAACCCCCAGGGCCAGGCACATACAGCAAGGGTTGCCAACCTCCATGGCAGCCCAGGGTGATCTTGGACCTTTAAAATGTCTCTAATCAGACCATTGTTGAAATCAGCATCCTTAGCCCATGATTCCTCCCTCTTTAAAGTGAAAATAATGGGATTTCTAACTCTATAGTGAGTTTGGTGTCTGCTAGTCATGAGGGTTATTTTTTTATAAAAGCACRAGTTAATTTTTAAAAATTGTGGAATTCCATTTCAGAAGCAGAACAATTATCTTGAATGTGGGTAACTGATGCAAAGTCAGCCATTGCCAGCTTAAATTCTTACATTAGAAAAAAGAAAGRAGCAGAGTATGTGCTGTTTTCAACTAATATTTGCCTGAAGAGCACAGAGAAACCACAACTGCTCACCCTTCAGCAAAGAAGTTTGCACCCAATTTGTATGTATAAACAAAAGCGATCTCTGTTTCTGTAGGAAGTATAGGGCGCTACTTTGTGATATGTGCACAGCTCCATGCACAGTCTATATGACTGTTCATACTGTAGAAATAATCTCCTTTCTGTTTTTTAAGGTGCATACGATTTGTGCTCTGCTGTAGCGGAATTGTGCAATGCTGGCATAAATAATCTGTTCTGACAACCCCTCAGGGAGTAACTCCTGTTGATAGGAAGTGTGASTGTTATCCCAGGATGATCTGATGCACTGGTAACTGCACTGTAACAATGGAACCATGAGATGGGCCTCGAGTTCTTCACGACTTTGGTGGGCAGGGTCAGCTGGGTTGGCAAGGTAATGCAGCTCAACTTCAAAAGGGAAGGCAATGAAGGTAATAGTCACTGTACAGGACCATCTGTTAGACAGACAAAATTCCCTATGTTTTARGAAAACCTTTGGTAAGAGAAGTCCTGAACTTTAAGTGAAATTTTCGTAATTTTTCTTTTCATTTCTTACTTTGCTCTACATGCCATGTGTAACAACAATCTGCTGTCACACCATTGGTGCTACATGCATACATCAGTAAGAAATCACATTTCAATGATGTTGACTCATAGCCATTTAGAAGGGAAGACTCATTAAGGGAGTGCCCATTAGCCACACTGTCCAAATAAGATTGTTCTTTATGTTTTGCAACCTGGATGTGAGCAGCTATCGCTCTTTCCTGCTGCTCTTGGCAGCGTCCTTCAATAGGTGGACAGACAGAAGTTCTGAAAATCTTGTTCTCCTGGCCTTTGTCTGCACCAAGCACACACACATCAGCTAATGAGGTGTACACATTTCTTACCTGTATTTAGGTATTGCAAGAAATCTGTTTGGCTCTCTGCCAGGTTCTGATACATGGTTCTGGCTGTTCACAAAGACAAGAGTTTCTGAATATTTTGTATAATCCTTTGGTTACCTCAGCTCAGCTTTACAGTTGGAATTATGTTAGGCAATACACAGGAACATTTTAGAGCACTGAATACTGCATCAAAAYGCTGCAGCCTTATGGCACAAACTGCTGCAGGCACGTGATTTGAATGTGCTAAAAAGTGTTACAGTTTTTATTGGTTTGAGTATATTCTATCCATTCCGTACCAGTTTCCTCCAGACAATATAAAGCCAGTAAAAATAACAAACTCTGTACTCCAGATAATTCACCAGATGTGCCATCATCCTCCTGCCTGATAGGTGATACAGTGCCACACAAATCAAATCTTAATGATCTTGTCAGCATGGCCTTACTAAAGCTGTAATTTCTTATTTGTTTCAGCTTCACTTCTATCTGAC